TCGGGACACCGTTGTGGTGTAATACCCTACTCATGTGTGTGGTGTGGTGGATTGCCTCTGGGGCTGATGATGAACAATACAGAGGAAGAACAGCATCGCGAGGGGTGTTCTTGTGGTGGTGGTATGCGGATGAACATCTCCCCTCTACTGTGGTGTCTAGCCCTATATAGAGAGAGAGGCCTTGGTCCTCTTCCCAAATATCGAGCGGGAAGGAAGCCAACAACGACCATTTGAAAGGGGACAACTAGTACAAGCTATCCTGACTAAAGGTGGTCTTTGACTGCCAAAGGAACTGGTGATGACGCCGTCTTGGGCTCCATGGTGACCTCCATCCTGCCGCTCTGCTTGTTTTGGTCTCGTTGCACCGATATGAAAACATTTGCTTGATGTCTTGGTACTCCGGGCCTACGCTTGCCCCCTTTGCACCAAAAAGGAAACGTGGACACTGCGCGGGCTGGCGCCCGCCTGGTTCTGATCGTCATGGCTTGCGTCATGAGCACCTCGCGAGGTACTCCTTGCCTTGATCTTTCCGCCTCCTCGCAAGCCTGCCTGGTGAGGCCGCCCCTGTGGAAGCCTTGCGCAGTCCGCCCCGCAAGACTTGGCCCCTCGCGAGGGTCTTGAACTTGGGTTGATAGATACGGGCCGTACTGGACCACTATTGAGCTACGCCGCAGGCCGCAGACAGGCAAGTCTGGGAAGCCCCGTTCCCAGAACGTCGACAAATAGAGCCGATGATGAATTCTAAATTTTAGAGTAGAAATTGCAGAGCTACTACTACCTTTTCTTTTCCTTTAGCAAGATCACTCTTTTTTTTTCAATTTTCCAGCTTTTGCCAAAGGATTTATTTAGAGCTCCATTTCTAGTTGACATTTTGATTGCCATTTTGCAGAACGAAATACAATGCGCGGAAGGGCACTCATCACGGTCTCGGTCGCCTAAAACTCTTTCAAGTTGCGGTCACCTAAAAGTTGCACATTCCAGTACTACAACTAAAGTACAGCCATAGGAAGATGAAAATCCAAAATTTGTAAATATGCTGAGATACAAAATGGGTTCGGACATACAGCGCGTTCGACGCTGACTGGCAAAACATCACGCTAATTGTGCATAGACAGCGCACAAACTAGCAGAGATGAGCCCTTTTTTTTCGAAAAACTTTGATCTATTCATCTTTAATCATGATAGTACAACGAATACCAGAAATAAAAATTACATTCAGATTCGTAGACCACCTAGCGATGACTACCAGCACCGAAGCGAGCCGAAGGCACGCCGCCGTCATCGCCCCTCCATCGCCGGAGCCGGCCACAACTTATTGTAGTAGACAGTCGGGAAGTCGTCGTGCTAAGCCCCCATAGGACCAGCATCCCAGAACAGCAACCGCCGTCGATGGAAAATAACGTAGATCGGAAGGATCCAAACCGAAGATACACGAACGTAGACGAACAACGACGAGATTCTAGCAAATCCACCAAAGATAGATCTGTCGAAGACACACCTCCACACGCCCATCAACGATGCTAGACGAACCGCCGGAACGGGGGCTAGGCAGAGAGACCTTTATTCCATCTTCAATGAGCCGCCGCCGTCTCGCCTTTCTGAGTAGGACACAAACCCTAACAAGATTGAAAAAAAAAACGAAGCCCTTTCGCCGGCCTTTGCCAGGATCCACCGCGCCTCCATGGCCCCAGGGCCACCGGAGACAAGGCGGACCTGCGCTGGCGCCGACGAGAAACACGAACCCTAATTTTCTTTCTTGAAGGAGGAGGAAGAAGCGGAGCCCTTAGCAGAGATGAGCCTGGTCCGGCTTAATTTCTCACATGAGCCATAAAACACAACGCTCCAGTGCATCTCACACATGACTAAAAAGTTTTGATGAGTCATCAAGTATCTGATAGATATAACAGTACCAAGTTTTTTTCCCACAACAAAAAACCTTTGATTCAAAGGAATTCTATAGGAATTTTGAAGGATTGAATCCTTAAAAAAATTCTTTGTTGGTCTTTGATTCCTATGATTATATCTTATAGTATCTTTTTCCTACATAATCTTTTATGCTAGAGTAAAAAAACGCTATATTATAGTACGGAGAGAGTACATTTTATAGAAAAACTAACATCCACTCTAACTGCTTTTAAAAATTTCTTTTTCACGTGGCATCATCAAACACTCCTTACTAATCCAATAAGATTCAAGTAGGTATGTCACTCCACTCCTATATTTTTCGTATTCGTGTGTTTTCAAAATCACTTTTTTTTATTTCTATGTTTTCGAAATCCTGCGAATCAAAGAGGCCCCACAAATGATCCGGAGAACCATCTAGAACTAGGCTCCAAAGATGTGAACACTAAAGACTAAATAACATGGTCAACTGGCAATCAGATAGGTACAAGTTTCACAAGCATGAATCGACCGGAGACACATTGTTGGCTAGTCTAAGAGCAACTCCAATGCGCTGACCCCAAACGGACGGCGATTTTATCCGTTTAGCCGGTCGCCCCGCTTGGCGTCCGTCCTGTTTATAATTTAGGTCGATGGTGTGTCCAATGGGCCGACCCATATTCGTCTGCGTGGCCGGTTTGTCGTCATTTTTTAACAAATATACACATATATTTGCATAGTTTCACAACCAAACAAAAATAGCATAGTTTTATAACCAAATAAATATAGCATAGTTTACAAGCCGAATAAAAATTAAATTATCTCAAATACATTTTTTTAAAAGATACATCTATTGATTGCCAACATGCGCCCACATATGCTCAACCAAATTATTTTATAGTTATAAGTGAGTTTCTCAATCACGCATTTTCATGATGAAATTGAATGAACTGTGCAAACGTTGTCGCTCCTCCTCCATGCTTAGGCACAACATTCTCACCCTGACACTGAAACCCTTGATCGTAAATACGTTCCGGACGCTTATCCTCTACGATCATATTGTGCATGATCACACAAGCAGTCATCACCTCCCACAACTTCTTGGTGCTTCAAGTTCTAGCAGGATACAGAATGATGCCCCATCGAGATTGCAGAACACCAAAGGCACGCTCGACATCCTTCCTAGCACTTTCTTGCTCTTGGGCAAACCTTTTCCTTTTCTCTCCGACAGGGTTGGGGATTGTCTTCAGATAATGGTCCACTTAGGATAGATACCGTCACCTAGGTAGTATCCTTTGTCGTAGTTGTGGCCATTGATGTTAACATTCACCGGTGGGTTGTTGCCTTCGGCAAGCCTTGTAAACACCGGCGAGCGTTGAAGTACGTTGATATCATTGTGTGACCCGGTCATGCCGAATAAAGAGTGCCAAATCCAAAGATCTTGTGAGGCCACGGCCTCAAGTATGACAGTGCAAGCCCTGACATGGCCCTTATACTGCCCTTGCCAAGCAGAAGGGCAGTTCTTCCACTCCCAGTGCATGCAGTCCATGCTACCCAGCATCCCTGGGAGGCCTCTGCTGACATTCATCGCCAACAAGCGGCTATATCTGCAACAGTCGACTGTCTCAAATACTCAGGGCCAAACACAACAATCACAACCTTGTAGAACATGTACATGGACTCTAGGAACATAGACTCGCTCATACGAATGTACTCATCAATGAGATCGTCGGGCACTGCATATGCAAGCATCCAGATGGCTGCAATGCATTTCTGATAAGATGAGAAGCCAATCTTTACAAAGGCATCCACTTTGCACTCGACATAATTATCGTATTCGACCACCCCTCTCTAATACGGTTGAAAACATGCCTAGCCATACGGAAACGCTGCTGGAATTTCTGATGTTTGAACAGCGGGTTGGTTGTGTTAAAGTAGTCCTTCCATAGAAGCAAATGGCCGCTCTCTCGGTTGCGATTCAACGTCGTAACGTGTCCCGGGATCGAGCCCCGGAACAACGGCCGCGGCCTATTAAGATGGTCATGGACCAACACAACAACTAGCATCTCCTCATCATCGGATGAGGAATCGTCAATGTCGCACAGGAAATTGTGAAAAAAGAACTCGTCGACGGAGTCCATTTGTACCTTGAGGCAAACTGTCGAACAGCTTGCGGGCGTCGACGAAGAAGTTGGCCGGCGAAGAGAGACGTGCCTCACCTGGACCAGTGGCTGGCCTGGCGGCGTCCGACGAGCGTGACAGCGTCAGCGGGGGTGATGTCGGACAAAGGAGTTGGTCATGGCCGCAGGGGACGACTTAATGCTCGCGCCGATGTCGGAGAGGGGGGACTGCGGTGGCCAGGCGGTGCGGCGACGTGGGTGGTGACGGCATGGAAGGTGTGGAGGCATGGACCACTGGCAGAGACACCGAAACTGGGCGACGACAGCAACAGGGCAGGGTTGAGGGTGGCCAATCCGCCGCCCACTAGCGGGCCAAGGAGAGGAGTAGACGGGCATCGCACGCGTCCGCTTCATGTCCGCACCGACGCTATCAGGCCCAGTTGGGCCGGGAATGGGTCGGCAGCCAGACAAAAGGTGGGAGCATGTCAATTTGGGCCAGCGCATTGGGTTGACTTTTCTATCCACGGCGATCCAAACGGACACGCGCAAACAAAATGGGTCAGCGTGTTGGAGTTGCTCTAACGGCCTATCAAGGACAAACAGCTTCTACAGGAAAATGAAATGCAGACCTCTGCACATCACCAGCCCATAAACTCACCGGTTAAATAACATGGCAAACTGGCAATCAGATAGGTACAAGTTTCACAAGCATGAATCGACCAGAGACACATTGTTGGCTAGTCTAAGGGCCTACAAGGGACAAACAGCTTCTACAGGAAAATGAAATGCAGACCTCTGCACTTCACCAGCCGATAAATTCACCAGTTGAACTGAACCATCCTACTACTGCATCACCGCCGATCAAAGACATCTTTGCAAGTAAGCAAATATCACTGGAACCATGAATCTGTCAAGAAGCTCTCCTAACGGCACGCTCATCAGGCCTACTTGAATTTTCTGTGACAGGCTTCGACATTCTTCCTCGTCTCAGGAAGCCACTTACATGGAAGCCTTTGTCGCGTCGCTGACCATACGAGTTAGGGCTTGGACAACTTCGGACATTGGTGGCCTGAATTCTGGCTCAGGCTGCGCAAGAAGTTTCAAGTCAGTCATACAGCTCGCCTTAGTGTAAACAATGATATCAGGATACAACAGATCACACATATATTACCTGAATACAGCTGCCAATGACATCAGCAAAACGCGACAAAGCCTTTTCAGAACATTGTCCTCTAATCAAAGGATCTACCATCTTTGATATGGCATCAATATCATAAAGTTGAGTAGAGGCCCATCGCACCAGATGTTGCTCAGCACGTGGACGGGAACTGCAATTCCATTTCATGGGGAAAAAATATTAAGTTCAAATTCATGGGAAGTCATCTGCAAGCAAAACAAGCATGCTTGATGAGTGTGAAAAGTAACTGGCATGGGGATTGCTTACCTGTCGTAAGGTTCACGTCCTGTTAGAAGTTCCAACATAACGACGCCAAAGCTGTAAACGTCACTTCGATCACTGAATGATCTGGATTCATGCACTTCTGGGGCTTCATAATGGAACAAGGCATGCAAACTGCCAGATAACTGACACCCAAAAGAGTACAAGATTTATGAGTGAGTAAAATAATAAAACCAAGCTCTTTTTTCTCATCTATCACAAATTCTTTGGTTGCCATGGTTGCTATATGACGAGAATGTTTGCCAATTAATACTCTTCCAAATCCTAAATTTCGCAGAGAATCCTTAGACTAGCCAGAAGAACAGCAACCAAAGGATGTAAAAGCACGAATAACACATCAGAGGCACCAAATCATGATTTACACATGCATAGCTATGTATACTCCCTCTGTCCCAAAATATAAGAATGTTTCTAACACTACACTAGTGTCAAAAACGTTCTTATATTATGGGACGGAGGGAGTATATGCCTAGACAACCTAAATTAGTGAACATATATGTAGTGCATTTAGGTTTTGCAAACAGCAAAAATGTGTAATTCTAGAACACTATATATCCAGCCCATGCCATGATTAATACCCCAAGTAATTTGAAATGTGACATGCTTCTTTTCTTCATTGGAAATCAGCAGGAGACTCTCTAGACCTTTCTCTCCATAACTAATGTCAGCCTTCTAGAGATATTGCTGTAGCATATAATGGTGATTCATAGTATCTGAAGTTCCGCGACAACCTCAAGAGTTCTGCAAAATGCAATGCTAAAATATTTTCATCATTGTTTACCTGAGACAGCGATGCAAGTCCACACTCGGAAATTTGGACTGCCAAAGTGCTATTAAGGAGAACGACAGATGGTTCAAAATTTTGATGTACAAGCGGTGGTTGACGGCCATCATGAAGATATCTGTAAATCAACATATAAATATCATTTTCAGAGTCATATTTAAAAACAAAACACGAATCAGAAAATTTACTGCAATTATTTCTGCTTACTGTAATGCCTTTGCTGCTTCCACAGCTACTTGGAGACGGGCATTCCATGACAATGCGTTGCTGGGTTCATCAACATAATGGAGTTCATCATGTAGAGTCATCTTACTACAATGCTCGTAGACAAGTAGCCGCTGCTCAAACTCCGCACAGTATCCCACTAGCGCAAGTATATTAGGATGACTTAGTTCTGAAATGTTCACAACTAGTTCTAGAAAGACATCAACTGGTACTCTTGAGTTATCAATGTCAATCTTCAAAACTTCTAAAATCTGCAAACCGAGTCAATATTGTAAGTGTAGAACTAATAATGCCATCACCAATACGCAATCTTACTATATTAACTGTCTGAATGTTTTTTTTAAAGTGTGTACCTCTCCATCAGGAAGTTCCGCCAGATATACTTTACCAAACCTACTATCTCTTATCAAATTTTCTTCACTGAAACTGTTGGTATATTGTTGAAGGGATGCAACAGAGAAGGACTTGACAGTAGTTCTAAGATCTATCTTCCCGAGTGAAGGTACTCTCCCCTTTTTAGTACGAACACTGGGACTGACAGTGACTTTTTCAGTACGCGGCGCAACAGACTGCGGAAGACGCAGTGGTTCTTCCACAAAATCATCAGATTTTCCCATATCTATAACATGCTCCTTTTGTTTCTTCGTGATCACCCCAGCAACAGCTGCCATGTCAGCATTTTGGTTAACCTTCATATACCAAAATCTGTAATGTACAGTGTTTTATTCAGTTCTCTTTTACCTCTCATCGGCGAATATAATGTAGCCTCCCTTTCCTTTGCGTTATAAGCAACATTAGGAGCTGTTACATACAACCTTCAAATGTCAGAGTCAATCTAGACGCGAGGAGCCGAGGACTGGCTAGCTACCATTCAGCCATGCCAGTGTTTTGTTTCAAGTGTTTCATACACTCAGATTTGCAAAGCAGTAAATTACAACACATATAGCCATTTACTAAAGTTGCTGCAACTCACCTTTCATTGATGCATTGACTTTCAGCTCCTCACTTGAATTAGAAACCACATTTGAAGCTGCTGCCAAATAATTCACATGTCAGTTG